TGCATAAAACCTCGCTTTTTTATTATTATCAACCTTTTAAGTTTCCGCATATATGACCAGAAGCAAGATAATCCTTTTGCATCCAAACATATTACTTATGCTTTATTTCAAAAGACAGTATAAATTTAACTCCCCAAGTCTGTAAGATCTGGGTGAACAGTAAGTAACAACTTAACCTGCAACACTCCTGTGTTTCTCAACACTGAATCTTCCCATGACATATTTTAAAAGATAACATCATAAACAACATTCCAAAATTTGACACCTATTTGAAACAGTATCCCTCCTCCTTTTTATGGTAATGACTTCTTCAGTACAGAAAAATATGCAATTTTGTTTTTCACTTGTTGCAGTGGTTTGTAAAAAATGGCCAAAAGAAATTACTTACTTGCAGCTGAACAGAGTTATCCTGAAGACCTTCTACAATAGGAGAAAATCTATCGACATTCCTTTCCTCTGCTGCTGCTGTTACAGCTTCCAAAATTTTTTCAAGGCTGTGAAAAGGAGAAGCATTTTGTTGAGGAGAGATATTCAAACTTGCTGTTCATTTGTTATCCAAAAAGCCATATTGCCAAATTATTCACCTGCCTCCATTTCCTGCATACAAATTTAGGAGGTTTAAGCAGTACTTGTTTCCTTCAGAGATTTCCATAGCCGAAGAATGACTGACTTACTGGATTACAAGGGTTAAGTTACCCTAACAGTAACGCAAAAGAATGGCTGCATAACTAGTTCGAATACATCCACATGTCAAAAAAGGAAACTTATTGATATGACCACAATAAAAAAAAAATCACAAAGATATACTGAAAATTGATAATATAGCATAGAGATTACTTTCAAACATAAATTGAACATTTTATCATTTCATTCAGGTATAAATATAATTTTGGCTATTGTAAAATTACCTTACTATTTCTTGCTTAAATACAGTACTTACATGTTTTCCTCTCCAACAATGCACATTGCAGAAAGGAGTTTAACTATATCCGTCATCATGTTAGTTTGCTTAGGATCAATTGCTTTGGTCAGCAACAAAAGGCTCCTCTCTTCTCCCAAAATTCTTTCCAATCCATACTGAATAACAGAATAACAGTTGTAAGAAAAGTAGGAGTGAATCCAAATGACTATTGAATATCTAGTAAAGACAGCGACGGTTCCCTCAAGTAAACATTTCAAATGACATTTAGGTCTGTCAAATACTTAATTAAAAAAATTAATGAGAGACAAGCCCCAAATGAGTCACTTATTCTGTAATAAGGGCATATATCAGCATCAAAAGTTTAAACTATTGTCAGAGGATATTTCTGCAGAGCGAGAGGGGCAACAGAAAGAACATCAAACCACAGCTGACCAGCACACTGACCATGTATATACCTTATCTGATTCAACTGTGGCAATTTACATTTCCAGATTAAATAAAATCTCATACCTTATTATTCATGAAGGCTCTCAAACACTGTATAACCTTATGCTGACTCCTCTTCACAATTCTGTCCTGACTGAAAAAAACCAAAAAAATTTAGTGTAATTAAGTGCTGTTTAGATATTAAGAAAAGCTGGCAATTTTATATTAAACCATCCTTACTTTTTTGTCTCAACCAATCTTTCCAAAACATCCAACAACAGTCCCAGACCTTCTCGGCCAAAGTTTTCAACCCAGCTGGGAAGGAAAAAAAGACATTTTAAAAAACCTGACATTTCAAAGACTAATTACAGTGAATGAAAATTGTCCCCACAAATAAAAGCAAGTATAACTGGATCATTTTAAAACCCAAATATCTTCAAGTGAACACAACAAAAATTTATAATTTCAGCTACTACCGAAGTTATCTTTTGGTAACGTTAAACCCTTGGCAAGTTGTTCCTACATGAAACAGCTGCTTCACAGTCCTGTTTACTACTGCTCAAACCCCCTTGATATCAAAATATAAGTAACAGCACACTAACAGCAGTAAATAAAATTATAGGAATAGGAAACCAGATCAGATGCTTTTATATTTTCCCCCCTAAAAGTAAATACATTATGAAAATAGAGTTTCTCTAGGTGTTCTGTTCTGCAAACAGATTAGGCAAATAACTGTCAATTATTTTTGGTATATCTGGCCATATCTGCCCTACGGACGATCCTATGAGACATTTCTTAGCACATTTTGTATTAACAGAATTGTGCACAGCCACTTTGTTGTATACCCAAAAGCTCAGGCTACTGAGAATGATCAAGTGCCTAAAACAGTGTTGCATTACTACTGCTCTTTCCTCTGCCTCCACACACGAACACTATCCAGAGAAAACATTCAGCTGTTTGTCAGTCAGACAAAACACTAAGCTACCAGTGGCCCTATTTCCAATGTATTAAAAATGTCCTCAAGAAAATTAAATCTGCTGCAACTATTATACAAAAGGAGAAGGAAAAGTTGCAGATAACTAGCTATTTGCAATTCTGTGTACAGCTAGATCACTTGAACCACTTTTGATGAACTTTGCTAGCAAGCGTGAGGTCAAAACAACCCAATTATTTACCTTAAGATTAATAACCAAGATCTTCCTTTCGAGGCTTTCTTTTTATACTGCTAGAAAATAAATACTACTTTTTGCAGTAAGCCATAAATTTCAATACATTTTTCTAAGTACCAAGGCTCAAACTACTCAATATGACTTTATTCAGATTTCCTCTGTGAATGAAAAACACATTTTACAAAAATGACTAATTGAAAACAATGTTGTAGAACCACTTTTTGTATTAGAAACTGAAATGTCAACAAGATTTAAAAGTGAAGTTGATTAAAGTACAGTAATTGGAAAATCAGGGAAAGAAAAACCTAAATTATATATTGTCAAAAATATCACAGCCTATAAATGTGAAGACTGTCAGGCTAAATCCAATCTAAATTTAATTCCCGTCTTGTTAAAAACAGACTATTTTTTTCTTTGTTATTATGCATGCACAGAATAAAATCCCAAAGTTTCACCAGTTATTCCTCATTGTCCATATCACATGAAGCTAAAGTCTAAAATAATCATGGATTTATAGCAGCTGGACCAGAATTCAGTACTTATGTGTCAAAGCAAGTCCTTACAGAGATCTGGCTGCTGACAGGAAAATCAAGGTCATCAATATCTGCATTCAATGAACATCAACTGTTGCTACACTTCAGAAACATGGTTTAAGAGTGTTTAGACCACAAATTTGTATTATGAAAAAGTGTATCACTGTTCCATTTTTGTTACTTTTGTATCTAAGCCCTACTTAATAACCTATTTTTTTACTAAGGCTATTTTCAAATGCTCTATTTGAGCCTAGTGAGGTCTATTTTAAAAGTCTTTTTCAGCATCACTCAATATAAATATACTAGAAGGCTGTTTCAAAACACCTATATTCTGCTGGTTGTGATCTTTCTTTTGATTTGCTGACTAAAATGCCTTCATGGACTAGTAGCTGAGATTTCATTTATTAAACTGCTGCCTACTTAAATACCTCTTCTCTGGTGTTTTTGCAAGCCACAGTCACTAGACTTCCAATTCAAACCTCTCAAATTCAGACCTATTCTTAGCCTATGCATCCCTTAACTTAATAATTAAAGCCTTCTTTCAAAAAAGCACAGATAAACAAATGTTGTGCTTTCTTCTGTACAGATATACACTACAGATACAGAAAAAATTATCAGAAGGCAGCAAGTAAGAAACTTGAAAGTACAGTAGAGGAGCAGCACACAATTAAAAACATAAATGTTTTCTGGTGAACAAACTTACACCAAGGTGCCTAACTCCCATTATAGATCACCCTGACAAAAACACTTAAAAGATCAAAGAGAGACTATTTAAAAAATAAAAATTAAAAAACAAATTTGACTACTTAGCACTAGAAAATAAAGGGAACTGCTCTGCACTACATTTGATTTACCTCCTCTTACCCTTACCTTGTATAGATCAGTGGGCCCTATTAAAAATAAGAAACCTACAGACAATACACAGTCAATGAAAAAAAAGAAAAAAGTTACAATCATTTACTAATGCCTGCACATTCATTAACTGGAAAACCTTGAAACATACATCTACAGATCCATTAATTTTAATCCATTAAGAAATTAGAATGCGATTAATCTCTGCAATATGTGTTAATGATGTTACCTGACAGGATTACTAGTCAAGGACACACGGAGGGATTCTAAGCAAGTGACTAGTCTTTCATCTGTTGACCCAGATTTTAATTCCTGAATAAATTCTTGGGGTGAAATCTTCCTACTGTTCTTGAGACTTCCCTGAAACACAGAAAATACATTATTTGTATATTTAGTGCATATAAAACTTGAATAGATTCTTCATGGCTAACCTTCATTTCTGTTCCTTGAAAAAACAAGGCAAAAAAATATATAATGTAGACCTAAACCTCTAACTGTTATCTATCTACTATATGCCAAATGCTGACTAAATTTTGGTCATTTTATGAACAAATTTATAATCAGTAGACAAAAGCGGCAGGCATCAAATGTACAAATTTATCATGCATGTGTGAGAAAATACAATTTTTGTAATGAATGGGTTCTGTTTATGCATTGCAGACATCTTAATTTTCAAAACTCAACAGAAGAAAAAAAACTCTGAGGTGCTCTGAAGAGATCACAAGGGACATGTCTGGAGGGGTGACTGCAGTCATGTGAGAATACAGAGTGATGAACCAGCACACCAGAAGAGTATGTGGGGAAGTTACTGCAGTAACTTCTGCTCTTGCAGATAGTGTTGGAAGACGCTTTTCCCTTAAAAATCCTTCATATGAGGACTATAGGAGACTGGCTAGCTTTGGCTCTAAGGGCTAAAGCAAAAGAAGTTTAAAAATTAAAAAAAATTAAAAAGAGTCCTTAAGAGCCAATAAAATTCTAAAGATAAAGCTCAGCTGCTCATTTGTTGTATGTGCCATCTCTAAGACTGAAGTGTGACACAAATATGACTACTGATGTGATAACTTAAGGACATTTTCTCAGACCTCCAGGTTTGGATTTTGCCTTGCTTTTTGGGCATGGCTATCTTTGGCAGGTGGGGAGGCAAATGAGGAAGTGAAGAAGACAGAGATAGAAAGGAAAATGCAATAGCAAGTTAATGCAGCACAGCAAAAGTAGTTTTGTGTAAACAAAATATATTCTGTTTCAAACAATATAGATTGAAAGACATTGGCTTTGTGTCATTGCTGCTTGTGTGGTGTTAAATTCAAGGTAACAATGACTTTTCTGGAGGTTATATAGTATCCATTGTTTTAAACGAAGCAATAGTTACACTGAACTAATGAAACTCTACAATTTACAATTAAACAGGCAAATCTAAGAGGCATTGACCCTATTCGTAAGAGCATCTTACTCTCCTGTTTAAATAGTAGCAAAGACAATATTTGTAGACATTGAAAAATAAAAAGTCTACTCAATCGCAATTTGATATGAAGGATAGATATATTTTCTACAGAGCAAATCTAAATTCAAAAAAGAGGCATACAATGGGGTATACAACCTACATTTTAAAGTCTCCTTTCTGGAGAGCAGAAACACAACTGTTCTGTCATGTTGCACTCAAGAGGCTTACTAAATAATTCTTGATTAACGAGTGGCGTAAGTCAGGAATTTAAGAGAATTAGACTTGTAGTGCAATAATAGCTTGACATTACTCACTGCAAATGGTGAGGCAGTCTCATTATGTTATTACAGATAGCCTCATACAGATGATGTTTGCTCACTTTGGTAGATCCTCAGGAAGTATTGACAAATAAACTTTTCTCGTCATGAAGTAGAAGATGACTGAATAGTTTCTAGGAGATAAATGAAGTCAAAAGCTGGGAAGTGTGGTTGACAGACCAGGCTGCTGAGCTGCCATTCAAAGAGACATCAACAGGAGAAATGGGCACAGGAATCGCAGGGAGTTCCACAACAGTAAATGGCAAACCTTGAACCTGAGGAGGCATAATCCATGCATCAACACGTGTTGAGGCCAACCAGCTAGAAACTAGGTTTGTAGGAAAAAAAACAGGGGATCTGATGGATGACAAATTGACCAGAGGTAAGTGTATCACCAGCTGGTCAAGGGAGATGATCCTTCCCCTCAGCTCAGCAATAGTGAGACATATGGAGTATTGTGTCCAGTTCCAGGCTCCCCAGCTTAAGAAAGACATGGACATATCGAAATGAGTCCAGAAAGGGCTGTGGACACTATTACAGGAGAATCTGTAGCACATGGAGAGGGTGACAGAACTGGGATTGTTTTGCTCCAAGAAGAGAAGGCTTAAACATAAGGTTAAACATAAGACACAAATACAAACTTCGCTCCCCCACCTTGGTTTTTAAGCACAAGGCTGGTCACACACTGGGTCAGGTTGCCCAGGCAGACTTTATAGTCTCCTCTATCAGAGATATTAAAAAAGGAATAGATAAGAGGTTGGAGAAGACTTTCTCCAGAGGTCTCTTCCACTCCCAATCATTCTATTCTATGACTCTGTGACAAAGGAACATTGGGGCTATAATACCACTCTGCTCCAAACATATTTCCTCAGACTTGATAGGCAGATGCTCTGAACACCAAAGAACAGACTACTGGCCAGGAGTCATCCTGAAAATACAGTGTTGCATGTTATATTTTGGAATACCACAAGTGGTACAGGAAACGTCATTCCAAACATGACTCTGAATTGATGGAGATCCCTATTTTGCTTAAATATGAGAGTCACTTCCAATAACTATGCTCTAAAACAAAACTAGATAAGATGCCCAGCTCATCTCTCATCCCTTGATGAGGGTTAAAGAGTCTTAAGGAGAGATCTAGGGAGCTCAGAGAAAAAAATCCATAACAATAAATGCTCCCACAGACAAAAAAAAACCCACAGTGTTTTCAGTTTCCTTTAATGGATCTTCCCAGCTGGTCTCTGCATAGATAATGGACTGACTAGAGACAAGATGACCAAACAAACTCCTAGCAGCCTTCATGACAAAGTATTTAACAAAATGTTACAGGAGCTCTCTACTTGGAAATTTCGAAGAGTCCCAGAAATTCTGCTGGCAGCTCCTGCTGTGCATAGACTACTTGATAAGCATTACTTGTATGCCTAAGCATATGGATGAATATCCTGGGTGGAGAATCTGTCATTTCCAGTGACTTCTCCCAGCAGTTCCTGCTGTAAAATTGACCAAGCTGATATAACCAGAATACTTATAAGTAGTCAGTAAAATTGCTTTCTTTGGATGTACAGTTATATAGGACAGTCATACAGACAGGACATATAGTTAAGATGGTTAGAAGATATTTTGGAAATAATTTAATATAATCAATAGCAATGCATGCAGTGGAAAGGTCACATGGGACAAGAGCCCAGCCAGACTATAAGAATTCCCTAGAATGACATTTCAGAGAGCCTCATCTGACCCATCTGAAGACAGTGTCACAAGCACTGGAGACTCACATCAACATCCAGACATTAAGAACTCTCAGACTCAGTTCTCTACCTGAACATTACCCTATGCAAAAGAACCAATAAACTGTGAATGTCTGTACAACATACCCAAAGGACCAAGTGCCACTTGTTCATAGTTATGCCAAGGTTCTGCAACATAGTAAGAATATAACACATCTGCTAGTGCTTAAATAAAATGAGAGCTGCATTTGGTACCAATTGTGAAACTGATTATATTAGCTATATTTCAGCTGCTTAAGTTCAAAATGCTCGAGTTAAAAACAGGAAATATCTTGAAGCCTCAATGCCTCTAGAAACTTAATTGCTCAACTGAAGAACAACTGGTCTGTGAGCAGATGCAGCATGAAGTCAGCATTAATTAATCTAGTTAAAGCATTACAAGGGACTAATGTGAACAACAAAAACAAAATCTTGAAAAGAAAACTGACTTTAAAAACCCAGTTTTTGTGGTTTTTGAACATATAAAACAGCAAAACTTATGGTAGAGCAACATGATACCAATGCTGCTTCTATTTCCACTTGAGTATTAACTCCATAACATGGAGATTTATATTGAAAATTCTTCTTTTCTGCAAGTTTTACTACATAAAGAGGTATGTTTTAAGAACACTGGAAAGGAACTGTGCATGTCCAAGAAACATAAACTGTGATACTGAGGTCAATGACGAAGTTGAGATTATAGTAGCGTCCACTTTGATCACCAGCAGCTGCTTTATTTTCAGTGATTCACTAGAGATGCAGTCCCTGTTCTTCATTTGAGTAATTTTTAAAATGATGACTCCTTTAAATGAAATCTGCTCAGTATTCTGCATAACAGTTACGAATGAGGATATTTGTCCCAACACAATATAGCTTAGTACCCATCTCCTTAAAGTTTGAGAAGTATGAACTATCAAGAGAAGTTACTGCAGTATCACTCATAGAAAAAGAGGACAGTTCAATGCATTTGAGAGCATCTCAGGAACAAAGTTTTCCAGGGTGAGGGAAGGAGTTTCCCATCCCAGCAGCTCCAGCAATAGTCTGAATTCATTTGCAGCACTACTGTATCAAACAGCTGAATCTGTGCCTCACAGAATCAGCTCCCTCCAGTTATACAATGAGTGAATGTCACTTCCAGTAAGGACACTATCACAGAAACAGAGTTCAGGAAAGACAAGCTTCCCTGCATGGATTGGTCTTTGGTAATCTCCCACAGCAGAAAAGGGAATATGTGGGCTAGCAGCCTACTTTGTTATATAGGTTTCAGTTCTTTGCAAGTATTAAGGGTCAGGAAGCAAAAACATGAAAACCTTTCTCTTGAGAAATAGTGCCTTAACATCACCATCATCAGGATGCTAAGATTCCAGCAATAGATGTGGATGCAGGAACTCTGCACAGCCAGTCATGGTCTATTATCACATAATGTTTTAGATCAAACATATGAGGTCTTAGAATACCTGTGAATGCTAGGGGTGTCAACAATATATACACCCTGACATGCTCTTTTTGGTAAATAAACTTTTAGAATGTTGTGAGATTTACTAGCCTGAAGTTTCCTCATTTCCCATGAAATAGCTTATAAAAAGGATATCTTCTGGAATTAAGGACCTGTTCTGCCATAGAAGGTCTAGCAGCTTTGATAAACTCACTGTAAATAAAACAATCTTCAGGCAGTTCAGCCCTGCACTAGACACCTACCTTGCTAAAAGGGCTAGAGCATTACACTAATAAGGTACATCATTTAAAGTACATCATAAGACAAATAGCTCCTTTAAATTATTATATTTAATGATTTCTCAGCATTTAGCTATAATTACACACCGGCAATTGTTACTGATATTTCTAGACACATACAGCAGTGAGAATTGAAGAATCAAAGTATGAATTCTAAAACAATCAAAAGATCTGAGGAGAGCATTAGCACTACAACATTTAGCACTGGTCAGTGCCCACTTTGCAAAAACTAAACAGTTTCTCTCATACCAACTTAATCCTTCAACTGGCCCTTACTTACAACAACTTGCACTGCTCTAAAAAAACCCAGTAATTATCCCTATAAGTAAAAACTGGACACTGATTGCTTCTGTGTAGAACACTTCTGTTATCAGCTATTACATAGCATCACAATATGAATCCTGTACTGAAGTTAGGTATGAAAAAGGCTCAGCAGTTAAGGAATTTTTAAACAAAGCCAGAAAAGAAAACAAGGTTGACACTAAACTTTTAGTAAGAAGTTTTCTGCAGAATCTTTCCATCTCCACTAACAGCCAAAGCTTTACCAAAAAGAAATGCAGTTTTGTGTATAGAAGACACACTTCAAGTTCAAGAGACTATTTCTCATCATACCTTGTAAAATAATGATAGACACAAACATTTTTAAAGGGTACTATGAGAAACAGAAGTTAATCAAAAGAATGTAACATGCATTCATCACTTCTTCTCTCCAACAGAAAATAATCTAATCATTAAGTCAGTTTTGGTGTACTTCAGAGACATTTACTTACCGACTTTGAAGCAGTGCTAATATATTGCATCACCATTTCTTTTTTGGTGTTAAAATCCTTTTCTCTCAACGGCATCTTCTTGTCTTCATTTAAATTCATATCTTCCTAAAATGGGAGAGGAAAAAAACCCAAACACAGTCTTAAGTGTCATACAGCAAGAGAGTGGTTTAACTATAAGAGACTGATTTAAATAAAGACACCAAAATACGAACTTAGGCAACCGAAAACTGTTATGCAAACAACTTTTCATAAGTTAGGATGTTACTCAAAACCATAAAAATCCTTATCTGCCTTCCCTCACAATTCAGACTGAAAAAGTCCTCCTGTCAACTATGCCAGGATTAACAAGTGCATCACAACCATTATTAGCACACTGTCTTCTTAGAAATTACTTACAGTTTCACACAAAAATGCACTAAACTACAGAGAAACATTATTTAACACTTCCCAAAACATTTATCAATGTACTCAAACCAGTATCTTAGAATTTTTTTATTTCAATTTAATTTTTTCCAGAACACTCTTCCTCAGTTTCCAAATACTTAATCCTGGGCAGTAGAATCTCGTTTGCACTGAGAGCAGTTCACAAAATAATATTTACCTTTGCAGTAGGTAAGGCCCAAATTCTTAAAGATTTATCATTAAATCAATGCCTTCAACTCTTATCAAAACCCCATCACAATTCATTCACTTCAACATAAACACAGAGGACAAAAAGAGCAGAGACAAAACTGCACTCAAAGCCACTCAGATATTCACTGACACTTCTGACACAGGGACTTCTACTACTCCAGCCTAGAAATGCTCTGATCATTGTACTCAGCTCCACTTCTGTGCTATTCCTATCAGGCTGGAGATTTTAAAAAAAAAATAAAAAAAGTTTTAAGGAACAGTTAACAATTTTGGCATACACATATACAAGCACATTCAGCATTACCATGTGCATGACCCAAGCTTAGCAAGAATTACTGTAGTTATTTTCAGCTGAGACTCATATGGTGAATCCTCACCAGCTCTGGCAGGAGTAATGCTACAAAATCAATGGGTAACCATCCTGATATCAAAGTTATTTCACCTAGTCAGAATTCAAAAACAAACAGCATAGATAAACCTTAGAATTTTAACGAGAAAAAAAAACAAAATTTGACAGTACACTGAAACTTAAATTTCCTTGTCTTTCAATAGTTTTCATGTTAAATAGAATAGAAACAAGCATAGTTCCTAGTTCCTAAACATTTATAGTTTTGTCTAAGTCCAAGCTGTGAGAAGTCATTGCAGGAAATGCCTGACTCATGTCCTGATTTCAGCTGGGACAGAGTTAATTTTGTTGAGCTCAACTTGAACAAACACAAAAGCTATTCACATTAGCCTGTAGCTATTGCAAAGTTCATTCTTCTGTTTAAAACAGTTTCTTTCAGACTTGCTCTTTTATGTTTTCTGAAAAGTAACTTCTGAACTTAAAGAAAAAAATCTAACTTTTAATCACAAAAAAAGTAATAAGAAACCTATCAGCACACACTGCAGTCCATAGTCCTAAAATATAACAGCAGGTTAATTTATAGGAAATTGTCTGTCTGTGTGTGTAGTAAAAAGCAATTTCTTTCTTGTTTTTAACAAATGAAACATCATTAAAGCAATTCATTTATACAGACTTGAAGTAGTCAGTGATACAAGAGGCACATCAGATGTGGCTTAGTTTATAAAATATTTCAACTTTTATTTCTTAAACAGTTGAAATATATTCTACAGGTGAGCAATCTCTCTTTGGAAAATAGGAATACATCATTTCACATTAATATGTTTCTAACAGCACTAACAGAAATGAAGGGAGCTAAACGTGTTAATTATTAGCTTCGTCTGGTTTTATGTGCTCTTTCATAATTTTTGCCATCAAAACCACACAGGATGCCACTGCCTGCCTACAACATTCAAGTTTTTCACAAACCCACCCCCCACACCAAATCACTTAATTTGATCAGAATGGCAAACTAGAGGCTACAATAAATAATTAGCTCTGTAATCTACTGTGACTGAACTAGCTTTATTCCAGTCCATTCAAATGTGGATAATCTGAAAAATCCTTTCAGTAGTACATGTTATAGATAAAATAATACTGATAAAGTAGCTTATCAAATACAGTTTAAGTGCTTTGTTATGCAATTCAAATTATTAGATGCCATCACTACTTTAACATATTTTCGCAAAGTAGTTTTAAAATCAGAATTACTTCAGGATCCATGGATATAAGCATTTCTATTAACCCAGACATGCAGTAGTAGTTTTCTGAGGATATATTGAAAGTTTCCATTTTTTTATGGCAGAGTATTAACATCATAGACTATCCTATATGAGAATGTCTGTGGGACGGCAGAGAAATACAAGCTACACACAGGGGGTGTGGGCAGGGAGCACACCTTAGAATTTTATTAAAAATTCTCCCATTTCCTGACATTTGAGCAACTACCATTCACAGTGAAATTTCTAGCAGAAGCAAGACACCAAGGTATACCAAGAAAAATGGACCACGTGAGAACAACAAGGACAAATACAAAAGTTGCTAACACAGTAAATTATTCCTCTCCTCCACTAGCTTGCTATGAAAATCCTGAATGTTAACTCTCAGTTATAGCTCTCAGGAGTTCCACAAAAGCATCTTCAAAACTAAACTATCATTACTGAGTACTAGGAATTAGAAATTCCACAAATGTACTTCTCTCATAGCACATTTAATTTCCTCCACATCCCAGCCCCTCACGGTCCCTTTGTGTTTCAAGAGTTACTTGTTACTTGCTGTGAGGCAGAGAAAGAAATAGTAATCTAGGCATTGCTCTCCTTGTTAATGTTCTCTTGTGCTCTCCAGATTGCAATCACTCTCTTTTCTCATGGCCATTCCGTGTTTAGTTTCAAATTGCGTAAAATGTCATCATCATGACAAAAAAATGCAACCTGTCGAGGTGGTACCGATGCCACATGACCTTTGTGACTGCTCTTTTGTAGCACAGTAACAATGACAGCCAAGGAAAGAAGTAAATTTGAGACTGCATTTGCTGACAAATGCTGCTTTGGAAGCAAGAACCTTAAGCCTTTTTTTGTGCAAGAGTGACATGGAATATAAATTCAGAACAAAACCCTGCTGTGACATTGAAAGGCATAAAATCCCTTCGAAAAAGTTGCAGGTTGCCTTGAAAGCAAGCAGGATTCCCCATTTCTTGTTCCTCCTCAAAATACATTGCATAATCTCACGTCTAATAATCAGAAACCTTTAATTTCCATTTTAAATATACTTGGAGCATACCCTCGTAAAAATAATTCCAATACTTTACTCCCTGAGAAACACTTTAAAACCCACGTAATTACAACTCACAACAACAGTAATAATTCAGGTGAGGATTAGAACACGTGCACAAAAGAAGGTTCCACCTACCACCTAGCCATGTTGTCATTCTTTAAGTAAAAGAAACCAGTCTAAGACTCTTACCATCATTTTTTCAAACAGTGCTATGATCTCTCTTTCCGACAGGGGCTTTGGAGCAAACTCCTCAGGATCCATAGGTGTGGATGACCAATCTGTTGAATGTGACTGCTTCATATGCGACAGAGGAGGTCTTTCTTTTTTACTCCTTGGAATCCTTATACTGGCAAATCTATCTAACTGAAAACACAAAAGGTATAAATAATCACATACTGCTTCCATTCTATGCAACCCTAATTAAGATGGGTGTTTTTGGAAGCTACACATCCTTATTTTCCTGGGGTAGCTTGCCTGTTATTTAACTGTCTTATTTTAAAGGATTTTCCTAAAGATACATATAATGGTCAGTTGCCTCAGCACTTGAGTTAACAGACCAGAATCCCATTACATTATAGAGAAATCATGCAGAACACGAGAATTTTACAGAAAGTTTGGAGGAATAGATATCCACAAAACCAATTTATGAAGAGTTCTTTCCAACCATTACATGTAGAATATGAAAAAGCAGGCTTTCTTACCAAAAGCATAGTTTTAAAGTGGTTTTTGTTGTTCTGAAACAGCTGTACTCCTGACATGGCAACAGAATATATAGATATGCAAAGAAACTACTTTTTATTAAAAGACAAGTTAGCATAACTAAGACACTGTTCAGTTTATTTTTTATTAGCATTATGTTATACAAAATTTAGGGCCTTTCTTTGCTCCAATTACTTAGAAATTCATTTAGGAGAAGCATAAAAGCCATCAACTCCTTTATTAAAGTTAAGTAGGGTACACTTATGATTTCATGAATAATCCTTATGACTAATCACCAGCACAAGTCTCTCGCTCTTGTTTTACCCTTTCAAGAGCCAAAAAACTTCTTTGGAAAAGTGGTTTGGGTTGGAGGGTTTTCTTAACTGGTTAGATATTTATCAACTTTGCAATAAAGACTAAGTCAAACTTTACGTGTTTTAAATGTTAGAGCTTGTGTTTTTAATGTACATGGGCAAGGAACAACAGAATGCAAAAGCAGCTGACATACGTAATGAGATGCACTAAATCTTAATCACCCTCGTAGCAGCCTTTTGAACAGATGTGAACAGCAATATTGCACTCGTCAACACCGAAGAAAGTTACGGTAACATTTGATGCATAAGAGACTTTGGACAAGATTTCAACGTACCAATAGACTTAGATCTCCAAATGCAATGCAAAAATATTCTGAGGCTTCAATGTACCTTTAAGATAAGTATCTTGAGATATCACTTAACAAGTACCTCAAAGTTACCAAACTAAATGACAAGTAAAATTATTACAGCATCTGTGGAATTAAGATCAGAGAGAGCAAAGAAAATCATTATCAAAAAATTGGGTACAAGTGTTCCACTCTAGTCAGAGCAAGAATGGACTATTAGACATTCATGAAGAGAGGATTAGAGGAAAAACAAATAGACTTTAATTCTTCCTGTTCAAAATTGAAAAGGAACAGTTTTTGGAACATAGAAATAGATTGTAAGCCACTCACATACAGATGGCTGTAGAGCATGCAAAAGCAGAAAATTAATATAGCATAAACATCAAAGTGCTCAGCATGGATGATGGGTCCTTCAGCATCACATCAAACCAGCAGGCAATGAGGAGAGCGCACTCTACAGGAACAACGACATGGGCAAGACCCAGGAACAGAAAATGCAACAGAAGCAAAGGGGAGGATAACATCATTGGAAGTGAAGTATAGAGTCATCAGTGGCAAAAACCACCTTACATCTTGATTAGAAAGCAACTTCCCTTCCTGTCTTTAAAATCAGAAGTCTATGGTAAGCATGGCGGGGATGAAACCAGATTGCAAACTGTAATGACTAGACCGAAACTTTAAAAAAATCATATTAGATGAGATTTTCTTGTCAAACAATGGCTTTCAGAGAGCACTGATGAAAGGCAGCATGCCTGCTCCAAAGAATGAGTTAGCTAGTAGCTTCTCCATGTCCCACATGTTCACTATCGAGAGCATAACCTCAGAAATAAACCCAATGTATTTGAAGATGGCTCATAAGCAGGCTTGAAGCAGGTGTAGAGGGATGACACTTGGGCTGAAATAACAGATTTCAGCCCACGGTTCAGTGAAAAGGGAACAAATTAGGTTTAAGAGAGCTGTGCCCTACATTCCTTATCTGATCTCTCCTGAAAAATCTCCATCCCTTCCTTAGAGTCCATGCTCCCCAAGCGTCTCCTCTTCCTTTTCCTGCTCCACACAGCAGCACCAACAGTAGTCCTGGCCAGGTGGAACCACCCTAGTCTCTGCCATGAAATACCCCACAAAGTCCCAAAGCTCTACTAGAAAAAGGCTGCACTAAGTCAGGGATGAGAGCCCATTCACCCTTGAAAAGGGATGTTTCACTTGTTCGCATTTTTAGTTTATGTTTTGTTTTTAAGCTCTTCTTGAATGTCAAACTGTACAGTAGATGTTTTGCATCATTACACATTAGGCCATAACATTCAAATTCCCTATATTTACCAAGTCCTATACCATTTGTTCTGGAGGAGGGAACCACAATCTTGGAATATATTTGATCAGGCAGAACGTGTAAGACAAATTGATATACTCAGGTTATAAGAACATTTACATGTGTCAAACTAATTACTTTAAATAATTTAAAACAATGCAGTGTAAAAAGAAGAGTCCCATACATTAATAAAAAGAAATTCACAACAAGACTTGTACAACAGTACAGTGTGGATATTCCACATACACTTCTCTTTTGAATTATACATTGATAGTGCTTCAGAAAAGTTAATACCTCTCAATATTCCATACAGGCGAATAATTTCATGGTCCATGGAAAGCACTATACAGAAAGAACAGAAATTTCATTGCTTGGGTGTAATGAAATTTACCACTGATGCTGCTGGCAATCCAAGTGCATAGAGGAGGAAACGGCCAAAAAAAAGTTCAGTAATCTTCCATGTTACACCAAAACATTTTAAATCAGGCTAACCAACGGCTACATCTAAGCTTAGCTTTGATACAAAGTTTCCCTGCAGCTAAAGCAAGTTTGACCTTCCATCTTCAGAAAAGATGTCTACCTTTTTATTATTATTTATTTTATCAATCAATACATATAGACCCATATAGGAATAGTGCTTTAGGATAATAATTTTTTGAAAAGGCCAAACTTAAAGACTTTGTAGGGCCAACAATAAAACTACCAAAAAGTACATAGTGTTTCATATGGTCTCGATACAAAGTATCTCAACAATAAAGGCTCTTTGAAATTCTCAAAAAAACTTATACCAGTTTTGATGCCCTGATAGAACTCAAAAGATGATCAGAGTTAAGGGTTAAAAAGCAAAGAGAAGTGTCAAGAAAATAAGAGTGCAATTAAATACTTCTGGGCACTCGAAGAAAGACTTTTTTTTAAAAATACAGCACACAAAAACATCACAGGGAATCGAACCAGCATTCAAACAACAACAATTACTCCTACCATCACAGCACAGCATTACCGAAGATGAGGAAAACTGTATTTCAGATATATGATCTAAAGATAATGGTAAAACAATTAAATACTGAATACAAAAATACTGCAGTAATAGTCATTTAAAACTATTATTTTCTAATATTTTTTTTAAAAATGATCTGCCTATGGAATCACAATATAGGCTGCATAGTGGTCTTCAGTTTAACATTTATGTGACAGTAAAAGGACACAAAAAATACAGTTTAATTAATATAAGTTAATTCTGGAAAGGAAAAAACACTGGAAGATAGGAAGAATTTCCTATCAAAAGGTATGCCTAATTCTAGAAATAACACAGACACACCACTATTCTGTTAACAAAAACTACCTGCAACAGTCCTAAGTCTTTTTTGGATAGTAGGGGTTTTAGTCTAGTGGGTTTGGGGTTTTTTCAAGGTAGGAGAAAAAAGTGAAAGAAGGGAAAAAAATAAACAAAAGAACTCAGACAGTAGAGAAGCTATTAAAGATGTAATTCGCACAGCTCTCATTCCTAAGAATGCATCCCCCAGCATAAAAAGTATGAGTGTTTTATCATAAACTTAATTTAAAGCAAATTAGTTGTTTGCTACGTTTTAGCTTTTATGTCTTTATGCCTCCTACCACCATAGACTGTAACATCTATAAAGCTATACACTTTATCCTGCCAGTCTGCATTCCCCACGAGACTGAAATGACAAGGCAATTGAAACAAAAACATCAGAACCGAAACACAGTGAAAAGTAAACCAGTCAACATGTGAACATGAGTTACCATGAGACTGCTTTTCAGTAGCACTTTACATTCACCAGCCTGAAGATTTTCAGGGAGCCTTGGCAGAAACTCTTTTATTATGGCCCCTTGCACTGTCAGACTTATACTACCTCATAGCAGTGTTTCTCCCACTGCTCTGCTCCATCACAAAGCTCTGCGAAACTACAGCTTCAGAAGGACTGCAGTAAAACCCTCTAGTAGCACGAGGTGCAAAGGATGCTACGGAACCTACACAATACCAGTGCTGACAGCATCCACACAGGAAAAAGTTGTCTGACAAGCACTATTGAGACAAGGAGATATCCTAGTTAATGATGAAGTTCTCACATGACTTCAAAAGCAAAAAACTGTGCACACAGTGCCAAAAAGTTCTGAGCAGCACATTTTTTACTCCTAGCAGTACAAGATAATGTGATCACTTATTTCAAAGGAGGCCTTGTCAGAGGAATATTCAAATCCCATGGGGATTCAATTTCTTATTAATATTTTTAAACACAGCTACATTGAAGAAATTACTTGAAAGAAAGCAACTGACAGAGGTAGGACATATCAAAAGTTTTTTAATGTCCCTTATCCATATGAAGGACAAGAAGAAAGGAGATTCATGCCGTGGAATCAAGTAAAGGAAAGGGCTGTCTCTTAAGGCTATGTGCTAAAAAGCCTATCTGCACACAGACAGAAGAGCACAGAAAGAGAGTGGTGGGTGGTGGAACCCAAATAATACTTTCACCTGTCTCTTCCTAAACTCCTCACAGGAACAATTAGCCCACCAAAGACATATTTTCAGAAATTCATATGAATAGAGAGGCACAATAGCAGGTAGGAGGATCCCAAATTATTGACCCAGAGGAAGTACATGCTGTCTAGGCTTGTCCCAAAGCTACCCTAGCAAAGCCTCTGCCCTGTGGTTCAGACCTGACACCTACCCCA